AACTCTTGATCATCGTTAAGGGTGAACTTGAAGCGGCGTGGGGCTTGTGAGTGCATTTGACAGTGGTGACAGAACTTAGAGATAGTCTCTAATGTGTCTATCGAGACGTCACTGTGCCCGGCTTGCTTCAAGAGGTGATGGAGCCTAGGGACTGCTGGGTGTCCAAAGCGTCGGTGAAGTGTACGAATCTCTGTTTCCGTAAGAAACGAGATGGACTCTTCATCTTTCGTAAGGAAGAACCAGGGATGTCCCCATTTGCGTACGACTGGAATGCTTGTAGGGCGATTAGTACAATGATTAGTACAATTGATGGTATCTGTGATGTTGTTGAAATAGATACCAAGCCGGTCCATATCAGCAAGGCAGAGCAAAAGGGAGTTGGGGTTTGAAGGACGTGGAACGTGATCCTTCCGAGGGTGTGTTAAGGGCGACTGTGCCGAGGAGTGGATGGCGTCGCTGTTGCCGAATTTGATGGAGGCCTGGCCGGATGTGGAGCTGTCGAGAGCTACAGAAGGGTCTTCTCGTTGTAGGGCGATGTACTGAGAGTATCCTGCTGTGGAAAATGTTGCTGCACCTGTGTCGATCATGATACCTTGGAATCTATCCCTTGAATAGCGATCTTCAATAATAAATTGCGAGGCTGGAACAACGGTTTGATCCGTCTGATAGACGTCTTCTCCTGTGATCAAATGATTGAATGCCTGTTGACAGAGCATTTGGCTTGCTTGCCATTGTTCCGGGTGATCGTTGGTGCTATTGTCATGTTCTTCCCATGTATCTTCAGTGTCATCAAAGCTGCTCATCTCATGACCTTCGTAGTCTAGAATATAGCCTCCGATGTCCGTGAGTTGTACACCTATGAAGTGACATTGAGTGATATGTTGGTCCTTGGCCTTTTGCCGTTCATCCGTAGAGTGTTTAGTTGACCAACAGCCTTCTTGTCCACAAACAAAACACTTCTTCGTCCAGTTTCGGTTACTGTAGCTATGATTGTAGTTACTACGGCTTTGAGGCCGGTAGTTTCACGGTTGTAGCTTTGTCTGTATCCGCGGCTGGGTCGTTGACCTGAATATCCGTATCTACCTCGAGAGCGGTTGTTATTGTATCGACGGTCGAGGTAGTACTGATGGTGTGGATCGTTATGATCGAATGATCCAGCAAAGTCAAGGGAAATTGAGAAGTTGTTATGAGGGCAAGATGGGTTTCAACGGATGCACGAAGATCTGCAAGAAGGTGCTCGACGTTATCGGCGGGTTTGAAAAGAGCGTATTGGAGTTCGGGTACTCCACGGCATGCTTTCATAAGCGTTGTACGCAGTAGAAGGTCTCCTGCGTACTCCCTGCCAAGGGCTCGTTGGCAGAGCTGAAGCTTATCAAAGAGGATTTGAAGCACTTCGTGGGGGGTCTTCGAAGCATCTTGGGCACGGATGGAGTTGAAGGTTATTGTTGTCCAGTCAGTATGGTAGTGGACATGGTTGACTTCCGTGTCAAAGTGTTGTTTGAAGATATCATACGCTTGTCGGAACGTCGTAGCCCATGTGATCTTATCAAGATAGAATCTTTGGGCTCTTCCATCAAGGATCCGGGAAAGAGTGCGTGAAATTGTGACGGTTTCACTTGGATATGAGAGCAGTTGCTTAAGAAGAGGCGGAGCTTATCATCAAGGAGATCGTACGGCTCTCCTGTGTAGTTCCGATCTTTGTTCCAGGTCTTCATAAACTTCTGCTGGATGTCGCTATCGACGATAGCGTTCGGGATGTTATCCGGGGGGAGTTTCATGTATTCTCCAAAGGTTGCAGGGCCGGATAAGTGTTCGGGGATGGGGTTGGTGACGGTTGGACGAGATCGGGGTTCTGGAAGCGGTAGGAAGTCGGATGAATAGTAAGAGAGGTCGGAGCAGGTTTATCTTGGATAGTCGGAGCAGGAGTAGGTGCGTTAGGAGGGCTCGTTAGGGTCTTAATAGGTTGTGGTTCGTTAAGACCTTGATGAGGTGCTGCTAAGGGCGTAACTGATGGTGAAGGAGGTTGAGACGGATGGGGATTAGTGGAAGCATTTGATCCTAGTAATGCTGTCTGCCTCCTGAAGGCAGCAGTCCTCTCATCAAACACCATCTCCGTAAACTCCTGCTCTGGCCAGGTTTGTGGGTTCTCGATAGTTTGTAATATGAGAAATTGTGTTGCGAATTTCCCTTTGTGAACCTGTGTAGATACCTCTTTTCCTTAGTAGTTTCCTGAGGGCTCTCTTGTATTCATTCGGGCGCGGTCCCATGTGTCTTCGGTCCATTCTTCAAAATGCTGTTGGAAGTAACCAAGGAGGTCGTATCCTTGATCACTGCCAGATTGAACGATGAATATGAACTTTGCCACATATGTCGTTACTGCGATCTTGTCCTTTTCGTCGTGTGTGATATCGTTGTCCCAAAGGTCGATATTAATTTGTCGGAATGCGGATGCTTGGATGTCTAGTGCCTGCATCTGGTCGCATATTTCTTCGAGCTGGGCTTCTGGGGACATAGCTCGGGCGGTCGGGGCTATCGTGATCAAATGAATGAGACGATGTGGGGTTCGTATTGGTCTCTTCGTATACGAGTTGTCGCTAATAGGAGGTCGAGCGTCGCGTACTAAGTAGGTCGTTCGCGGCCAGACTGAACTGACGGGGATCTTGCTACTTAACGTCAAGGGTCGAACGTTCTTACTAGTTGTTTGCGATGTGGTCGCCTGTCGATTCCGGTGCTCACGGCTAGGCAAACTAGCGGGCGATCGTAATCAACAGTTGGAAGGACTCTCGCGCGGCTGGGCAAACCAGCGGGAGATTCCTTGTTCTTAGCACAAATAACCTTCTTCTGAGCGCTACTCAGGGCCACAGTAAAGTGACGCGGACTATAGCACCTTCGAAGGTTGAGGAATTTGTCTCTTCTACTTAGCTGTCTGTGACGGGCGTGGGCCGGTCACTGATCAGTGTGGGTAGGCACCTGCGGCAGCTGCTGCAATGAGACGGTACTAGGGTTAACCTGATGTTGTATTCGTCTTGATTCTCTATCTAAGGAGGCAGAGGCCAGCGTGGAGAAAGGGGGCACGCTGCCCTCAGCCGCACACGTGACCGTACGGGTCACGTGCCAACCATGGTTGGTCACACCACTAGATAGATACATTCCTACATACTAGCATTATTTTTCTCCCCTAAATTCTTTTAAAACTACGTAACTATTTACTTAATACTAAGCTGTACTTTATCTATAAAGGTAAATACCTAAAGAGATTTAACTTACTAGCGTTACCTTAGACCTTAGCTATAGTATTATTAGAGCTAGTATACTCCGTATAATATAGTAAGAAGCTACTGCCTATCTAGAAAATAAAGCTATTTAGTTATCTAATTTTTCCTAATTAGATCTATTATAACAATTAAGAATTATAGGCTGAGGCGGTGAAATAATAACGATATATCTTGCTAGAGCCTATTCCTCTATTTATAGATATCTATACTTTGCAGTTATTACTGCCTTTTAAATATAATATTACGATGAGACTAGCCGGGCCGGCTAGGCAGCTGCTTGGTTAGCTATATTAGCTTTCTGCTTGGCTTTATATTTAATTATTATTATCCTTTTGAGAGGGGAATTAAGATATACAATTTACTTGGAGGAAAAATTTTCAGGCGGGGTTAGAGGGGACAGTACGACGATTATAGAAATCTTGACCTATACGATAGCAGGGGAGCCTGGGCGACCCCTGCGAGTTGAAGTTCATTTAGTATCAGCCTTTGTACCTACGCCTAGTAGAGTTTAAGATAAGCAAATCCGTGCAGAATTAAAAAGAAATATATAATGGGCGATTTTTATAGGTCTAAAACGCTATAAGCAAGCTAAATAAGCGAATAAACACCTCTCCACCCTATCCATCCTACTCTATATACCGCCTCTAGCGAAGATATTGCAGATATAGCATCCTCGAGCGATAGATTATCCTAGCACAGCTAAGGTCATTATAATATTTCCCTAGTTATCAAGTCATGGTTATACAATGCCCATATTAGATCTACTTTAGTTATATATCTCGCGTTTCTACTCGGCCTACTTGCTTCCTTGCTGTCGCATATATTAGGCCCTGGTTTGTCTATTTAAACATTGTTCCTCTCCTCTATTCGGCCCTCTGACAGTCTTTCCATGTCTTTAAAAATCCTGGCATTACTGGCCACTTATCAACCAACGGCGAATAAAATAGCAACATGAAGAGCCTTCTCCTTTTTCCTGGCGTTCCAAACGCACTGGCCGCTGCCATTGCGGTTCGCTCCCCAGTCTCTGCTGCGAGTCCCGACTGTCAGGACTCGCCATGCTATAAAGGTATCAAGCAAGTCTTTGCTGGCAACGCGGTCAAATTTTGCCAGCAGGCTCAAGCAGCCACACAGCCCCCGGTGGTAACTTTAGCGCTCTTAAAAGATCATTGCCCGAATCCGCTATCTCCTTCTGGCTTCGTCCAGATCTGGGTTAGTTGCGACTGCATCAGGAAGGATCACCCAAATCTTTTACCCTCTACAGAGAAGCCACAGACATCAAACGGTATCATCAACATGCATGATATCTCAAGCATTTCTAGCGCTAGTGAAAAGCTCCCCCCTCCAGTACCAGGCTGCGATAACAACCGTTGCTCCCGTGCTATTGAGAGAGCCCTGGAGGGCGACGCGCTTGAAATCTGCCAAAAAGCTCTAACTACCTCTGATTTTCGTGAAATCGGCAAGCTTTTCTCCGAAAAACATGAATCAACCTTACCAGACAATTGTGGAGATGAGTCTACTATCCACCTGGGTTGCGATTGTGTCGTGGGCAACCAAGAGGTTGCAGCGCAGGCGAGGGATAAAGCGGGAACCAAGGACAAAGCCGCGGAAGGGGAAACCGAGGGCAAAGCCACGGAAGCGGGCGAAAAAAAGAAAGAAGGAAGTTTAGACACCAACGAAGACGTTACAAGAGCGTCCCAAGAGGAAATTTATGACGATATGGAAGCCATGAACAATGATAACGGCATGAGCATGGACGATTGTTGGGATGCCAAAGAAAAGGGAACCGAGGACGTCAAATCAAGTGAAACAGGTTCTGAAACCGATGCAGCCGAGCCCATACGAGGAGCCACAGCTGTATCAGGGGCCATAGCTGAGGCTGTTCAAGAAGCCGGTGTTATCGGAGCTGGAGCCATCGGGGCCATAATCGTGGCCCCAGCCAACCGAGAAGGAAAGGCCCGTGACCAGGGAGATTGGCACAAACAAGCAGACAAGGCCAACAACCCACCGGGCAAAATGGAAGATCAACCGGGCAAGAAGACTAACAACTCATCGAACCAGATCAACGACCAACCAGGCAAGGACACCAGCAACCCACAGAGCAAGGTAGACGACCAATCGGGCAAGGACACTAGCAACTCGCCAAGCAAAGTGAACGATCAACCAGGCAAGGACACTAGCAACCCACAGAGCACGGTCGATGACCAACCGGGCAAGGACACGAGCAACTTGCTAAGCAAAGTCAACGATCAACCAGGCAAGGACACTAGCAACCAACCGAGTAAGATCAACGATCAACCAGATAAGGACACTAGCAACCCACAGAGCACGGTCGATGACCAACCGGGCAAGGACACGAGCAACTTGCCAAGCAAAGTCAACGACCAGCCAGGCAAGGACACTAGCAAACCACAGAGCAAGGTTAATGATCAACCAAGTAAGGACACCAGAAACTCGCCAAGCAAAGTCAACGATCAACCAGACAAGAAGACTAGCGACGAACCGGGAGAGGTAAAACCTGAGAAATCCTGGTTTTCTCGTTATACTGAGAAGCTGAGCCTATACCCCCTTGTTTAGGGGACGCACAAGAGTAGAGTGGCCATGTTATCTCTCCAGGAGCAGAGGCATTGCGATTTCGGCGGTATTGCTACCTACCAGACGGTCACACTTTAAGTGGGTGACGAGGGCTGGTGGCTAGTGAAATTGGGCTGGTGTGCTAAGATTGATTTGCTTGTGACGAGATGTTAATGTTCTAGTTCCGTGTTGTGGCAAGATGCGCACATTTTCCGTTAGATGGGCAACAATTGGTGCAATAGACAGATAGATTTCTTCAAACGAGTTTGATTCCTAAGTCTTACAGTTCTAGGGCGAAAGTTAGCCAAGATCGACTCGAATTGACAACAAACTTACAATGATCGAATCCGACCAGTGCTGCTGCCCGGCGCCTCTATAATTTTATACTCGAATAGTGAAGAACTGCCGGCGCCTAATATGACGATTGATCAATCAATCTCGTGCAAGATCCAAAAGGCGTCAGATTGCGTGGATATATGCATGTTGTGACTACGAGTACTGTATAAATACGCACTATACGAGGTAACTCCGTTCGACCATGCAAGGGAAAGTGGAACGCTCCAGCAATTGCATTGTTGGAGGGGCATATGAACTCTGGCTGTCTGGCACATGTATGTATCATGCTTGACCGAGCTGTCCAGGGCCTGGACCCGGGAAGTCTTTGGGAGCGTTCTACTGCTTCCTAGAGTTGATTCGATGGAATTTTTATTCGTCATTGCCGCACGCTCTATTTTACGCTACTCTCAGCAAGCTGAGAGCGCGGGCGGAAGGATAAGGGCAGGCACAATTGAGTCCAAACGATGATGCATGTTTTTTATCTATCTGTGCGACATTGAGGGGGTATTTATACGAATAGATACCAATCTGGGACCCGTGGTGGCCCTGAATCAGTGCCAATTCCGTGTATCCCGATTAGGCAATGTTCCTCTACTGTATCGATACCTGACTCAAGTCCTTGTGTCTGACCTGCCTCTTTCACCGGAGTTTATACGTGTGCGGATTAGACCGTCAGTCTGCTCCTCTGACACACCCCTTTGCCTCGGTCTCACTGGGTGAGTGAGGCAAACAAGCAAAAGAGACAGACGAATCATCCAATCTTATCAAATATCCAGCGAGTGAGGCTACTACCGTTGAGGAGATGCTCTTCATGATGTCTTCCTTGGTGTTGTGACCAGGAGCATTTTAACAAGTCAATACCAGCAAAATGATGGGTCCATCCCGTGCCTGGGTGATGCTCGGAGAGCATCTATATCTCTCTCTGGGTGGTGATACTGTCGAAACTGTCCTCCGGCGCATCGGCTTCAATTGGTGCCACCGGTCTCCCTTGCATCCCTAGCTGCTTGACAAAAGCTTCGTGCTTTTGCTGGGGAAGGGCCTTTGTCATTCCATCAGCGGGATTCTCCGTAGACTTGATCCATGTGATCTGGAGTCTTTCTTCCTGAACCTCCTGTCGAAGCCAGTGACGATGGATATCGATGTGCTTAAGGTTCGTCTTGAGCTTTGCGCTTAGTTCAGTCAGGAGCCTGATGGTCTGCAGGTTATCGCACCATAGCTCATTGGTGCCTTCTACCTTGATGTCAAGCTCTTTAATTAGCCGGAAAATTGCATTTGCTCCTTCGCCGCGCTTGACAGGGCCAGCAATTCGGCCTCTGTGGACGACGTCGTCACAGTCGCTTGTTTCGTAGCCTTCCAGTCAACGGGTCCGCCTAGAAACAAGAAGACATATCCCTGTGAGGATTTTCGAGTCTCCGGGTTGTCTGCAAAGGATGAATCAGAAGCGCAGAGGAACCTGCGTTCAGCTTCTTTGACTGAGAAGCAGATGCAGCGATCTCTCGTGTGATAGAGGTATGCCAGGCATCTCCTGGCCTCTCTCCTATGCTTCGGGCCCGGGTTATGGCTGAATTGTGCCAGTTTTCCAACCGGGAACGCACCGTCGGGTCTGGTGTGAATCGCTGGGTGAAGAATTGAGCCAATTAGAGAGAGATATTGATGAACCTCGTCCCTAGTAGCCGTCTTCTCGTATGGCTTGAGCTCTTCGGTCGTTATCGGGATCTGGGGCACGCCAAGGATCTGATCATCGTCCTCAATGTGGAATTTCTTGGCCATCTTCGAGAGATACGAGGCTTGAGCGAGCCAAAGCTTCTTCTGGGCCCTATCCTGATGACTTCAATCCTAGGAACCAGCGAAGTTCCCCATGTGGTTGATGGTATATTCCTTCATAATGGCAGCGTGAAGTTCTTCCCATTCGGCCTTCTTTTCTTTTGGATACATCATCACGATGTCATCCACAAAGAAGAAGATGATGACTCCTTTATAAGTCATCACGCAGGCATCTTCGACGAGTTGTTGAGCGCCCAGCTTCTTGAAGAAGCCCGAGAGCTCCTCAAACCACAGCCTTGGAGCGATTCGAAGCCCGTATAGTCCTTGAGAAGCTTCAAGCATAGCCCAGGCTCAAGGTAGCCTGGTGGCATCTGACAATAGATGGCATGCTTGAGCTTATTATACAGAAACGCTGTTTTCACATCGTACTGTTCTGTTTCAAGGTCTTCAAGACAGCAGAGGGCCATTAACACTCTGAAGGTTCTTGCTCGTAGTGTGGCCGCGTATGTGTCCTCGTTGTCTTCCGGCTGCTGGTCTCCACGGACCACAAGTCGGGCTTTAAAGCGAGTGACGTAGCCCTGCTCATCCAGTTTATATGCATATACCCATCGCCAGTGTTGCTAATAATATGACAATAAAGTAGTATACTGCAGTATATACAATACAATACGCGATTTCTCATATTGTACCAATACAATATGCTCGCCGTCATATTGTGACGATACAATATGGCGCCTTCCATACTGGCAATATATGGCTTGTATTGTTTGTATTGGTTGGTGGTCATTCGCCTTTCCGTTCCCCAATTCGCGCCAATATGATGACGCGTCAAAATACACGCGTAAATATAAGCATGTTCTATGTATTGTTTTTCGTCTGGCGGACCTCCAGGACGTAAAATCTTCCTATTGGCGCACGGAAACGCGTAAATGTATGTATAAATCCAGACCTACAGGGTAGCGGCTCGCCGTCCAAACACTGTTTTCCTCCTCAACCGCTTTCCCACCCCAGGACTTACAAGCAATCTCGATGCCTCAACAACGCCTGCCTTTTGTTCAAACATCGCCGCGACGGGATTCGTCAATATCAGACGAATACTCGGAGATTTCCAGCCCACGGTTGCATGATCCAGATGAGACCCAAACCACTGAATGCCAATCGTCGCAACCTCGCACGGCCTCCATAAACCCTTCGGCCAAGCCAAGAACATCATGGGTCTTTTCTCATATGCCAGACGAGGACATAGAGACGAAATACTACAATCAGCGGACCGGAAAAGAAGAATGGCGCTGCAAACACTGTGACAAAACGTATTGCTGTTCCGGTGGAACTGCGGCCCCAGCCAAGCACCTTACGGATCCTCCTCCTGACGGTCACGGCCTCCCAAAAGGCGCGCCACGAACAGCCAAAGTCACGAATATACGAACTATTCTCGAGATAGCTCGTGTTATGGCCAAAGAACATCCCCGAAAACGCCGTCGGCTCAACGATCAATCCGGAGACTCGATCGACCCAGACCAGCTCGAAGCTTTATACGTAAGGTTTATTACGTCCTGTTCTCTCCCATTTAGGCTTGTGGAATGCCCAGAATTCCGAGCATTCTTAGCCTACCTCAACGCCGATATCGATACTTGGCTTCCAGATACACACGAGACCATCAAGAAATGGATTATGCGGCAGTACGAAGGTCAGAAGGAGAAGGTCAAGCAGCGCATCCAGTCAGCAAAGTCAAAAATTCATATCAGCTGCGACCTATGGACTTCCCCCAACTCTTTGGCCATCTTAGGCGTAGTTGCTCATTACGTTGCAGAAGACAGTCAGTTGGAACACCATGTCTTGGCTTTGAAAGACATCGACAGTGAGCACGACGGATATCACCTGGCAAGGGCAATTTTGGAAGTGGTTGATGACTGGGGTTTGCTTCCAACCTTGGATATTTTGTGATGGACAATGCAGGCAATAACGATACAATGATGAGATCTCTTTCCCTTGGTAAGTACGGCGCACTGTTTTTCTGACTGGCCCTAACATCTACAGGCCTTCTACGTCGATATGACATTCGATACGATCCCAAATCTCACCGACTCCGCTGCCAAGGTCACATTATCAACCTTGCCGCCAAAGCTTTCCTCTTCGTTACCGATAATGAGAAGCTCAAAGACGACGAACGTGATGGGCATAATGTGACACTAAAAGAGATCGAGGCGTGGCGGAAAAGGGTCCCCTTGGCAAGCTCCACAACTTCGTGGTTTTCGTCCAAAGTAGTGTTCAGCGTCGCCAAAGTTTCTGGCCATCAGCCATAATCGCAAGCTTGCGCGAGATAATGACACGAGGTGGAGTTCGTGGTACACCATGCTACGAGCGGCCTTGCATCTTAGAGGCGCAGTCGAGGGATATTCAACAAATGGGTGGAAGGAGATTGTGCCGGAGACGAGCCCTCGAGGAGTGGGTCATCCTCGAGAAGATCAAGTCTTTCTTGGAGAAGCTTAAAATGACGACAAAGGCCCTTGAGTCATCGTTTGCAACTCTTGACAATGTTCTCTTGGCTATGGACTTCGTATTGGCGCAATTTGAAGCAGGAAAAGAGGCACATATCGACGATCCGATTATGGCACCAATGTATAACTCGGGCTGGGCGAAGATGGATAAGTACTATTGTCTTACTGACGAATCGCCTGCCTACGTCGCTGCGATTGTGCTTCACCCTTCGCATAAATGGCACTACATACACGAAAACTGGAAGAAGGAGTGGGCTGACTCGTCAAAGAAGCTGATGGAGACACTGTGGGATGATTATAAACCTGTGGAGCCGCCTTCTCTATCTGAGGTTCCGTTGACGACCACGAACGAGTTCTTGAATTGGAGAAACAAGCACCTACAACCAGCACTTATCACAGACGAGT